TCTGAGTCTCTCTGAGACCTGACACCTGAGGTCACGGCCCCCTCCTCTGCCTCTGGTGCTCCCACAGCCTTGGAAAGCCTCACTCAGTCCTGTCATCCCTGTGGGGCCCATGGATGTCCTTGCGGGGGGCAGGGCCCAGGCTGGTTTCAAAGGCTGTCTTCAAAGGTGGCTGGAGTATTTTCTCCAGGTTGGTGTAAACCTCTTACTAGCGGCTGAGCAGGGCAGGCCACCCCTGGGAACAGCTGAGGGCGGTCAGCCTCCGCCTTGCCTCCCTGAGGGTGGGGGGCGAGCACGAGGGCTGTCCCGGGCCCGGCTGGAGGGCTGGCTGGGGAGCCCCTCCAGGAAACGCCCCTCTGACCGGCTCCCAGGGCCCGGCTTGTCTGATCGCCAGGGCCTTGCTGGCTGGACGCCCGCAGCGCCCACCCGCCAGGCTGGGGGTCCTGCTCCCTTGTGTGTCCCCCGGCCCTGTCGCCCACCGGCTCAGGGCTGCCCCGCGCTGCTGGGGACCGGCCAGCCGCTCTGTGCCCTTGGGCCGCTCTCACTGGTGTTCCCCCTGCGGCTTGTGGCCGGAGCTGCTGTGTGTTCTTTCTGGTTTTGTGGATCGTATCTCAAATAGGTGTGGGCGAGGCGGACTTTTCCCACAGAACATTGCCAAGTAGCTGGCTGCCGTCGCCCTTCCGCACGCTGCTGACCGCGGCTGCCGCTCCCTGCGCTCGGCCTTCCTGCTCGGTGGGGCAGGGGGGCACCTGGCCTGGTCGGCCCCGACCGAGCCTGAGGGGCGTGACAGGAGCGGGGCCGGTGGCACCAACGCAGCCTCGTGCGCCCAGCGGCCGCGGGGGTGTGGGGGCCAGGCCTTCTAGTGGCGAGTCTGCGTCAGCGTGGGCCATGCCCTGTGACCGGCTCGCCGCGGCTCAGGTGCCCAGGACCCATGTGTTGAGGGGAAGGCGGGCAGTGCGTTGGTGGGCTCGGGGCGGGACATAGGCCGAGACGGGCGGGGGGGGGGGGGAGGCTCACTGGGTGGTGGCCTGGCAGGTGTTGGAGAGGACAAGGCCGCCGAGCGGGACGCAGGGTCTGCCTGTGGTCTTAGACTCTCCTGAAAAAATTCCACTGTGGAAAATTTCAAACACGTTGGAGAAAAGGGAGAGTGATTGGCGTGGGAAAGCCTGTGCCCACCTGCTGCCTCCGGCCCCGGGTGGCCTCCGCGTCTAGGGCCCTGTGGACAGCGCTGCCGTGAGCACAGGGGGCGCGTCCCTGCGAGGACCCGCCCTCGGTTCCCAGGCGGACGCCCAGAGGAGCGGCGCCGGCTCACGTGTTACCGCTCTGTGGGGAGGAACACGAGTTCTTCGGGAAAACAGCGTCCGGTGGTGCCGTGCAGAACCCACCGGCCGCTCGCAGCAGACCGGCGACCGCTGGGAATGGAGACCCTCAGTGGCGACAGACACAGGCCTGCCTGATGGGCACGCGTGCGAGAGCGCGTTTTCAGATGGCAGGTGGGACGGCCGAGTGGCACCGGGGACGTCTGCCGTGCGCAGAGGTGTCCTCCCACAGAGAGGCCCGCCTCCCGTTGCGCGCTGACCTCCCCCGTGGAACCCCCAGGGTGATAGCGACCTGCCCCCTGCTGCGCCCCGGCCTGCGGCTCTGTGCCCGCTGCTCCTCCCGATACACCGGATCGGCGCCTCGCTCTCTAGGACCTTCCCCTCCCTTGAAAATCTGGCTAAATTAAATTTAAACGGGGTGGTGGGGGGAGCCTGAGCGTCTACACTGTTTCCACGTCTTCGGCCCCTCCTCCTCCTCTATTTCCTTGAGAACTTAAATCCCAGGTGCCACAGCCATTTCGCATAAATACTGCCTGTGGCTTTAACCGATAGTCTTATTTTCATACTCCAGAAAATGAGTAATTCTTAAATGTCATCTTACACCCAAAGTATGTTCCAGTTTTACTGGTTGTCCTAAAGTCTCTTTATAGTTTGTTCCAATCAGGGTGCAGGCCTGGGCCAGCCTGTCTGAGGTCGTGACCCTGTAGCCGCTTGTCCTCTGTGCCCCCAGGCAGGGGCCGCCGGCAGGAGACCCCCACGGAGGAGCCAGCCGCCTCGGGGGGGGCGTTCTTGCCCCGGCTCACTGGGTGGCGGCCCCGCAGCCCTTCGAACCCCGTCCCTGAGGCCCGCGTGTCCCACGGTGGGCAGCCCGGGCTGCTGCTGGTTTTAGGGGCAAGGCAGCGGTGCGCGCCGCGGAGGGGCGGCGGCGTTTAAACGGCCGCTGGCTGCCCTGACGGAAAACTGGTGCTCAGGCAGGAGTGTTCCTCCCGTTCCCATTCTCTCTAACACGCGTGCGCGCACACACAGCCTTGCAACTTACGTCACTTACCTCGTTAAAGTTTAATTCCTACTAATGGCAGATGCTGCTTTATCACAGAACTTTGGTATTTTTCAATAACTTGAGGGGTGAGGAAAAGAAACATCCAACGGGCTGGGACGCCTGAGCCTGCGAGCAGGGCTCCCGTGGGAGGGACCGCCCTCCGCAGCCTGCGTGTGCAGAGTGGCGGGCGCTGCCGGCGTGGGCCGTGAAGGTGGGCGGAGGGACGGGGCCCTCCAGCTGGGAGGCGGGGGCGGTGAGCACCCCGCTGTCCGGCCTGGCTGCTGCGGTCTCTGCCTGCGGAGACCCGGCCGCTGGCGGCAGGCAGGCAGCGTCACACGGTGGTTCCTCGTCTCCTCTTCTAGGTCTGAGTCTGACCTCGTGCCACGTGGGCGTGACAGGGTCAGGGCTGGGGCTGGCGCTCCCAGGTGCTCCCAGGCTGCTCCGGTGTCAGCCAGGCCCGGGCGCGGCGCGTGTGGCCTGGGTTTGTGTGCGGGTCTGTCACGCTCTCCTCGGACAGCAGCACCTCCGGGCTGTGGGCTGTTCATGCACACGTTGCGCTTCTTCCTGGGACGTGGCACGGCGTACCCTGGGCCGGTGCCCAGCGCCTGGTGGGTGAGCCAAGGCTGCGCCGGGCCATACAGTGGCTTAAAACCCGTGGTGAAGCCGCTGAGCACACTGACCTGCCTGTCTCTACCGCAGTCTCTGGAGGGAGGGAGGGCCCAGCGGCCCTCCCGCCTTCGCGTGGGTAGAGGAGTATGGCGTTGGGCGTCGTCAGTTCTTGGGGCTCTGGGGTATTTATTTGGATCTCCAGGACTTGGGGCCGGCAGGCAGCTCCACCCCAAGTCAGGAAAGGCCTTCGTGTGGGCTGGGGGCTCCCCTGCAGCCACAGCCCGGGAGGCCGGCTCAGTCTACCGGGAAACGCAGGCCCGGGCTGGCGCCTGGGCGCCCTCACGGTTTCCAGTTCTGGAGTCCAGGCCAACAGGTGCTGAGGGTGGATGCTGAGGAGGGGACTGGCGGGGGTGGCCCAGGAGCAGGTCATGGCTGGCGGCGGTGCCCCTCGGTGTGCTCATGGCGCTAGCAGTGGCTCAGGCGCCAGGGGGTGTGCTCTCCTGGACGGCCAGTTTTGGAAACGAGTCATTCCGTTTGCGAATGGAGTCTGCTTCACGTCCTTCGCTTCCAGGAGCGTGGCGTGCAGTGGGTCTGCGGGCGCCACCGTCTGCGTGGCCGTGGGTGCGCGCATGCTTGGGGTGCTGGTCCGTGTCCGGGCCCGTGTGGAGAAGAGCCTCTGGGCCCGCAGCGGGAGCCCCGCGGGGGCCTCACGTCGCACCCAGGGTCTCACGGGGGCCTGCCGCCCTTCTTCCGGCTTGGGGAGCAGGGGCTGTTCCCAGCCCCAGATAGGCTGCCTCCTTGTGACTATCCTTTCCCTTCGAGTGGCTGGGATTGGGGAAGGGGTTCTGCTTGGGGAAGAGACTGCACGTTCCCGCCTTTGACTCTCTGAGTGGCCCGGGGCGGCGGTCCCCGCCAGTGCACCGGCAGAGCCTCTCCGCCCGCCGCGGGTGCGGCGGGGGTGGCTCATGAAGGCCATGGCGGAGGGCACCTGGGGCCCTGCACGCCTCCCTGTCCCCGGACGGCCTCCGCTCTCAGAAGTACATGCTGTTGGAGATCTTTGGGTCACCGTGTTCACGCCCTTGGGCTCTGAACGTCTCCAAAGGTGCAGGGGTGTTAAAAATACACACTTTGAAGGCTGCACGAAGTGTTATCCATTTTGGTTAAAAAGCAGGTTTTGTTAGAGTCAGTGGACTGAAGTTACTAGTTTTTGTCTTGATTTGAAAGTCGGCCTGAGGGAGCTGATGTCCGCTCTGTGCACCTCGCGTTTGCTCCCTGAGGTCGGCGACGAAGGTGCCTCCTGCCAGCGTGGGTGCTGCCGTGCCTCCCTCTGCTGGCCGTGTGACACACTTGTCAGAAGCTAATTTTAAAGAGGCGTGATTCCTGGAAGTTTTGCCAGTCTTCTTCCCGTCTGTCAGAGAGGACGTGGGAGATCTCAGGCGGTCGCTGCGGCCTGGGGTGGACGTGGGCGGGCCCCCGGTCCAGCTTAGCGCCGAGCCCGACCGCACAGGCAGCGCTCCGAGGGCAGGCTGCGAGGGGGTCATGGAAACGCTGCCCGGCGGTGCGAGCTCCTGGCCCCGCAGCCTCCGGAAGCCGCTCCTTGCCTTGGTTGGTTCCGCGGCGGGCGGGACGGCGTGGGCACGGCCAGCGCGCTGTGCCTGTCCGTGTGTGGCCTCGTGCACGTGATCGCTGCAGGGGAGCTGGCTCCCGATGGACCTGCAGGTGTAGCGTGGCTGGTTGCTGACAGGAGTGAACCGAACAGCTAAGCCCGGGTTTGGGCCTGTAGTTGGTGTTTGCCAGTTTGGGCACTTCACTTGGGGACTGTTCTGTTTATTCCACAGAAGGTCTTTTATTTTCTGATTCACCAAGTAAAAATGGTTTGTGTTGGAATTAAATCCGTCGTCTTTTAAAGTCGGAAGGGTATGCGTCTTCGTTGTTTGCAAGGGGTTGCTCTGTGCAGTTCCTGAGTGTAAAAGTGTTCTTGTTGAAATTGGAGCAGTTTCTAATGCCAGACGCCAAACACTTTCTCTGTCCTGCAGATGGACTTTCTGGCCGAGATCAGCCCGTGGAGCTGCTAAGCCCTGCCCGCGCGAGCCACGTGCCCAGTACCGGTGAGTCAGCGCCCGGCCCAGCCAGGCCCGGCTCCCCCGAAAGCTGTTTCGAGGCTTTGCTTTACTGGGAGAGCCTGGCGAGAATGGGGTGGGGTTACCAGCGCCACAGCTGGGCGACCTTTTCCTGGGGTGAGAGAGGCCACCCGTCCTGGGAAGGAAACGGGTGCTGGGTAGATGCCACCGCGGGGGCCAAGGGGACGCCGCCCCTCCCTGCGGGTGCCGCGGAGTGCATGCTGCGCCGGAGCTGGGGCCGCAAGTCCCACACCGGGGCGGCCACTGGACCACCAGCCGTGACACTTGTCCCTGACCCCACGCTTCTCAGGGGCGAGCTGAGCCCGTGATGCTGTTTCCTGAACCCCTCTTGGTTCTGTGACAAAAAGCATCAACTGTGACTATAAATGTTTTTCCTCCCATGTTGTTTCTAAATGTTTTGCTTTAAGCAAAGTTTTCCAAATCTACGCGGCCATGGAGACCTTCTGCTTTCCTTTCTCTTTAGAACGTCCTTCCTGCTGTGGAGTCCCTAGGGCTTTAGCGCAGAGCGGGCCCGCTTGTCCTCGCAGGCCACTCGGCCTCCCTGGGAAGGAGCGGGCCTCCCGCAGGCCGGGCCGGGCGGGGCTGCTGGACCCAGGCCGCTCTGCATGCCCCCTCCCTGCGCAGGGCCCGCTGGGCAAGGAGGTCCGCCGGCCCCCACTCGGCCCTGCCCGCATCAGGCCTGCCCCAGGGCTGTGAGGGTCGAAACAGAGGCTCCCTTCTGTGCCCGGCGGTCTCTGAGGCCTGCCGAGGGTGCTGTCAACCCCCCGTACCCCCCGGCCACACACACGCATAGCTCTCTCCCTGTCACCTAGGCCCCTGCCGGGGTGCCCGCCTCCCGTCTTCTGTTCCCCCACCTCTCTCGTCCTCCCGGCCAGGAGTGGGGGGCGGCCCTCTCCAATGGCTGGTGAAGGCGCTTGCTTTAGCAGTGCCAGCTCTCACTCTGTTCCCTTTGGTCACACACATACTCCTCGTGTGCCTGGGCACCTGAGACAACTCCCTGGGGCCCGGCCGGGGCGGGACGGAGGAGAAAGAGATCTTCAGGGAGCTCCGCAGGACGTGGGCGGGGGTGCGTGTGGCCCGGGGCCCCCTGAGCCGGAAGAGCGGGGCCTCCTACGGACCCTCGGGCGCGGGAGGCAGCCCCCAGCGGAGGGCTCACAGGGGCCGAGGGCAGCTTCTGTGGCGACAGAGACGGACTGTGGACTGGAGCTTGGGTGGAGGGGGTTAATTCTGGTTCTTCACTTTTTCCATTAGCTTGTTATATGCAAACACTCCCTGTTCCTGTTGCTCTTCTTCCTCGTTTCAAGAATTTTAATTGTAAAATAGTTGTGTGAGAGAGAACCTACAGTCATACATCTCGCGCTGAACAGTACTCGGTATCTGATTACTGCTGTTTTGGGTCAGTGTCTTCCTCCCTGGGATCTGAAGGAGAGAGCGGCACATCATGGGCACGGCCGCATGCCCCTCCCTGAGGCCCCTCGGCACCTCCCCTCCCGGGTGGGGGCCAGGCTGCGGGGAGTCCTGGGGAAGCAGGTCGTCAGCTCCACGTCAGGTGAGGGCGGTGCCGGGGTTCGCGCACAGAGCGGAAGGGGACAGAGGGTCACCTGGGAGGGCAGGCGTGTTCAGGGTCTCACGCCAATATTTCCAGTGATCAGGTCATGGGCCGGGTCACTGGAAAACAGCCAAGCCCTTTGTTCCTGAGTCACTGTGACTTTCTTGAAGTGACAGGTTTTTTTCCTGATATAAAAGTAACTGTGTTGATTACAGAAAAGAGACATTGTGCTAAGTGTGTGGGGTGCTGGTTTCCAGGGAAGGCGCGCGCTGGGCCGTGGAGGCACCCACCAGCCTGGACCGAGTGGGGCCCAGGGGAGGCGGGCCGTCCGGGAGCAACACCGGCCAAGAGCAGCGGCAGTGGGCCCCTGGAGGCCTCGCTGCCGCCGGACGGCGGGCTGGGGGCCTTGCGTCCACTGCTGTGCTGGGAGGGAAGCAGGCTCCCTCGAGGCAGGTCCCCTTCCCGGGGGCCACCAGGGTATAAACTGGGCTCGGACCCATCCACTCCCTAGACGGCTGCTGGGGGAAGGCAGCCCCAGGAGGCGACCTGACCTGCACCAGGGAGGGCAAGTGGCGGCTGTGCTGGGGGCCTGCACCAAAGACAGGCGCCCTCTGCAGGTCGCTCGGGCACGCCGTGCTGGTGCCCGGGGCCCCGCCTGTCCTGGTGACACGCGTCCGTCCGTCCGTGCTGGGAAGGTTTCTTCCCAAGGCTGTATGATGAAGGTGCAGTGTATGAAAGAAAATCCTGGAATGTTAAACTACAGAAACCCTAGAGAACTTATCCCAACTAATATTTAAAAAAAAAAGTGAGGTTTGGTTTTTGCCATGGATTCCCAAATCTTACAGGGTATTTGACTACCACTCTGTCCAAGCAGTTATTGAATTTCTGGACACCCCTGGAATTTCTGAGCAGGAGCTTTGGAGGTGTGTGAGCTGGCTCCTCCCGGCTCCTCCCAGCCACTGGGTGTGGTGTTTGGGATGGATCGGGACTTGCGACCTCAGGGGAAACTTTGAAAACCTTCCCTCGTGGGCCTCGGAGCTACTCATCCCCTTAAACAGGTCCCTGGGGGTGGGCTCTGCTTTTCAGTGTTTCCCGCTCGGTGCTCCTTTGGCGTTTGTAGTGCGAAGCGGGCTTCCTGGATGGGGCACAAGCAGCCCTCCAGGGCTGCCTCCGGTGGCTCCTGAGGGCGACTCCTGCGGTGCGTGCCGGGCGGGCAGCAGGGAGCGCCCCTGCCCTCCTCGGGCGCTGCCAGGCCGGCCCCCCCGCGGCCATCTTCCAGCCGAGGAGCCGCCGCTCGGCGGGTGCTCCCTTCTGGTGCCCAGGGCGGGTGCAGCGGCGGGAGCAGCCAGCTGCGTGTGTGTTGTACATCTAGGGGAAGAATGAAAACATGGAGCACGAAGGTACCAAAGTAAAAATCGAGCTGTTTGAGAAACTGGAAGAAGATTCACACGGTTTGCTTTGCTTAAACGAAAGTCGAGAATTTCTCCTGAAACGCTCCATGGAGGGCCCCTGTGAGGAGCCCGGCCCGCGAGGACGGCCTGCACCTCGCAGTTTGCGCGGCTGTGGAGCCCGGGCTGCCTGAGGTGGTGTTGGGGGGACCGTGCACGTGCCGGGCACCTTTGTCAGCTGGTCAGAGGCGCCTCGGTCACTGCGGGGACAGGTGAGCTTGCAGCCAAGGACGGCGCTGCCCCAGCAGTGAGCCCAGGCACTGCCTGGTCCGCTCGGTGTGGCTCTGAGGGGCCCTCAGACCCTAGTCCCCCCAGCGTGGGTGAGGACTCGTGACCTCTCAGGGTGTGTGAAGGGGCTGCTGCTCGAGGTCAGTGCATGTCCAGCACCCCTGGTCCAGCCCTTGCTGGCTGGGAGTGCCGTGGCGCGGGCGTGGGCTGTCTCGTGCCGCCTCTCCCCTCCCCCTTGCTCTCGGGGAACGCTCCATTGCTGCTGCTGTACCCGCGCTTCCCCCTCAACCCCCATCTTGGGGCGGCTTGCGTGGAGGATCAGGACTGGGCCTTGCTGAGCTGCGACAAGGCCAGGGAGCCAGCAGAGCGGGGCAGCAGGGCCCACCTGCGGCCAGTGGGTCGCTCGCCATGGAGCAGGCGGCCTGTTCTCGGAGCCGGGCCTCATCTCTGGTGCCAGGCTGCCGCTCGGCCTGGCAGGGGCCTCAGGCCGCTGGGGAGTGTCGCGGGTGTTCCCTCCTGTGTTTCTGGTGCCTTCCGGCCTGCCAGTCCCAGCCGCTGGCCCTGCTGCTTCCTTCAGCACGATGGTCTCCCCCTCCCCGCCCAGCAGACTGTGTGCTGACCCCCATGGCTCGCTGTTTATAAAGGGGCAGCAGGCGGAGGGGGGAGCCCAGGGCAGCTCCCGCCCCCTTCGCCCTCCTGGCTGCGCTGCCATCGGGGGAGCCGGAGGCCTGTCTGCTCTCCCTGGCGCAGCCCCGGTGTCTGCTGCCCAGGTGCAGGGCGTCACCCTGAACTAGACGTGACACCTGGTGGCTGCTCTCCTGGCAGACGGGCCGTGGAGGGCACGGTGGCCGTGGTCGGGGGGACGGGTGTGTTGACTGGGTGCCCGCCAGCTCACCCACAGCCCACGCCCTTACCTGAGCAGTAGTGGCCTGGCAGAGTGGTGAAGGGAATGCCACCTACCCTCTGGTGACAGTGTGACCTACCGCCTGGCTTGAGGCCCTGAGGACACCAGTGTGTGATGGCTGTGACTGGGCCTTGGGAAGCTCCCCCTCAGGTCCCTGAAGCCAGTCCTGTTGTCCCCTGCGGGGGCAGAGCTTCCGTCTCCTGGGCTGGGGGTCTGGACCCTGCCTCCCCACCACAGGCAGCCACTCGGTGTCCTGCGTCTGATGAGGCAGGTGCCCTGAGTCACCCCTGTGCTCTGACTTGGAGAACTCAGTGTTCCCCTGCCTTTGTGTTGGTGACTTTTCTAATAATGACCCCCGTTCTGTTTGGGTGGGGTCTTGAGTTGTGGGGATACACGGTCATGCACAGGGTGCTTGGCCTCTGCCTCCTGGGCCCCCACCGTGCTGAGCACGCCCCCCGCCCCAGCCCATGCCTCTCCGCCCAGTGACAGGCGTGCTCTCTGCATCCCCAGGGGTGGGGAGGAGGAGAAGGGCCTCCCCTCTCCGTGTGGGGGTCCCATAGATGGGGTCATTTGTGTTCGGCGCCAGGTGTTCCCCTTGTTGTGGTGTTACTGCCAGCACACGACAAGCACTTAGGACCGTCTGGCCTGGACAAGGGGCAGGAACCACTAGGAAGCAGGCACAAGCTGGTTACGGCAGAGTGGGAACGCCACTGGCCGGGTGACAGCTGTGTCCCCGTGCTTTGCCCTGCTGCAGTCTGACCGTGTGGCCACCTGAGCCCAGAGCTGAGGGGTCGGCCAGCCGTTTTCTCCTCTTACAGGACAGGTGTGGTTCTGGGGG